CCCCAAAACCCCAAAACCCCAAAACCCCAAATATTAAGTCTAAAGTTGAACTTCCAGCTTTAATTTAACAAATACCCACTCTTCCATAATAGCACCTAAAATCTCAATTAAATTCAACCCCTCAATCTCCTAAACGTCCCAACCTACAACCCTCCTTTTCGACCCCAATGCCGACTTGCCAGCCCATTTGCCAACCAAGTCCCCCAAGTCTGCTCTCCCGAGGAGACTCCTGTGAGGCTTTGCTTGGAAGCAGCAGAGGTCAGAAGGAAGGCATGGGCATAGGGATGGACTTTATGGGAGAGTGGAAGGTATTAGGCAGGTTGTGGGTTTGGGGAGATGGGCATGGTAATGGAAGTGTAGTGTTGTGAGGGTGTATTGATTACTCTAAATACTTTAGTAGGCTTAAGACTCTTTGGATTTAATCAATAAAACCTTTTCAAGATCGGGTTATTTGTGTTTTAAATAAGCTATTCTAAGTTTTGTAATTCGAAAATTATGATATGGTTACCATTGTCTTGCTTACAATTTTGAAACTGGCAAAATTCATATTAATAATCAAGAGAATGTTCGAAGTATAATAATTCAAATAAATATTCAAGCAAATGGTTAAGTTCATCTTCTATAATTTATATCAGAGGCAACCGATTAAAGTTTGTTGATTCCATGAGATCGGATGAATTTTCAAATTGTCAACTTTTTAATATCTAGTTTAAATGCCATTTAGCTATTCAATATTATATGAAGACTTAGAAATGAGAGGACCTTTTATAAAAATCTTCTATATCTATAAGAGATAACTAAATATTATAGTTGCATTACTCGCTGAGAAATTTAATATTGAGGATGTAGAATTCAACAATTCTGAATAAATTTGCTAAGAAGTCAATTAGTCTAAAAATTGTCATTTTATGTTGAGTTTACTGTATTGTCAATGTTTAATAAAATTCAAGAACCAACTACAAAGGGTAAATTAATTTCAAATCAATATTGTCGTAATAATACAATAATTTTAAGGCTAACAGACCCCATTTTATGATATTTGACAGCTTGGTCAAATGAAAATGATTCAAAGTCCTTTCAATATTCTCGCATAAGAAAAGGCTCCCAAAGACTAACAAGAGATTTGGATTTGTAAATCTTAGAATTTACAAGAAAATGATAAATTATGAGCAACCATTGCATGGGTTTGATATTAAAAGTGCCAACTACTAATAAACTTGTGCAGCTCTTGTATACAGATTAGAGAGTTATTCATTCTTAATGTTATCCAATTCTATAATTTTTATATTTAGTAAAAAGGCATAATAGCTTACCCCTAAACTCACCCAACAAGAAATACAATCAGTTAATACTTTTAAACATTGATCAATTTTTTATTTACAAGCAGGTCCACTTCCTTGTCAAAACTGCATTTAAATATTTTCATTTAAATGGGAGGTTTCAATAGCCGACACTAACTTAATCGAAACCCTAAAATATATTAAAAGCCACCAAGTGTCAAATGTGGAGAAGTGACCCATTTTATCAAAATGAGATAAAAGAAAAATTAACCAAAATTTAATATCTAAGCAATTATTTTAACTCCTCCAAGCTGGTTTTCTTCAAAAGTTTGCTCAACTTCAGCCTGCTTTACTTCGCAGTGTGTGATGTTTACCTCTTTGAGACTCAACCTTAAATCTGGAGAACTTGCTAATCCTTGGACCAAGTTCTTGAACTCGTCGAAGTTGTTCTCCCAGTCACTAAAATCATAGCATCATGATCCATTTAAATCTAGCTTCTGGATTTGGCAGTTTGAAAGAGCTTCTGAAAAATCAGGAACACTCGGGATTGATAAGTTGCAAACCCACAATCTCAACCTTCCGACATGTTTGTAAGCTGCCGCCATCCTCTTCAGGGAGGGGAGGCCGATGCAGAAATGATAAAATGTAACTACTTGGAGGACTTTCGAACTGATCCTGACTAGGGAGTTTAAGTAATTGGACTTCTTCAGATCCATTTTATTAGAGGAGTGAAAATAAAGCCCATTAGTTTTATCTGGGAATGAGGATTCTAAAAAATTTACAAAATGTCTGTTTTTAGAATCAGCATAGCTAAAATTAATAGAGTTTATATCAAAGAACTTGAGGTACTTGAAACTTTGGGCAAGTTTCACATATCTAAGATCATTAAAATCAATGCAAAGTTCACTATTTTCTGGCACTTCTTCAGAGTCTGAATCCAATGGCTCAATTTCTATTTTCTCTGGAAAAATCTTATAGAGGATGCTCTGGCCTCTGGCGACATTTTGTTCCTTGGTTTCTTCCAGAACAGACTTCTCTATACTGCCCAATTAGAGATGAACGAGGAGGGGATCCATGTCAGAATCCGTAAGAAAGTTGTAGTTGGATTAATGAAAGAGTGTTAATTGTAGTTTTAGAAGTCTAAAGTTTAAGTATTCAGAAATAAACTCAATTTATCGATATAAAAATCAAATTTTAGAGAGATAAGGCTGTCAAAAGATCCTCAGTTGAAGATGTAGCCTTGTTAAAGAAATTTTCGATAAATTTGTTTAAAAGTTGATGAATTTTAGTTTCTATATTAAAAATTTTGAGCTTGTGGCAAATTAGGAGATAAAAATTTAGAACACCTTAAAATTCAGCTCACAGTTACCTAATTATCCCCGCGTTTTCTTCTTCAATAATTTTGCTATTGCTTTCCATTTTATTATTATATAAATGATAATTTCATTTTTTTAATGTGTCTGCGGGGTTTTGGGGTTTTGGGGTTTTGGGGTTTTGGGG